TGAAAGCCAAAGAGCCAAAGATACGGGTCTAGGATGGTACTTTGTCGCTCAGAAAATGCCGATTCAGTCGCACCTTAAAAATACTCGGGTTGTATGTGCTCGGAAATACAGTCGCAGGTAGAGAATTCCTTTCCCGTGCTGTGCGCATAACAAAAGATGACGAAAAGCGTTTAGCACGATTAAATGTAACATCGATCAAGTGGGGATGATATTTCGTCGTCCGTCTAGATGTCCGATGGTAAAAAAGTGCGGGTGGAATGAGCTGATGGAGCTCATCGACACACATTATGTAAGATAATGAACATATCCCATTCAAATGTAGAGCTGTATATTCTATAAGACCATAGGGTATCTAGAAAAATAGTTTAAAAACCCCTGTTACGTTTTTCATACAAAATTGAGGGGCATACATAACGTCCAGCTTTTATGGTTCGTGTCCCGCTGTCCCCAAAATACTTAACAATATCCCGCTTTGACGAAACAGGACACTTGGGACAATAATTAAAAAAAAATGTTGCGAATGCGAGAAATAATATGAACATATATAAAGCCAGCCCACTAGACTACACAACATTCATTCTATTTTTGAATTTATTATCATTAGACATTTTAGTTTTTTTTTAAATCATTAAACATTTCGTAACTATCTTATACATGTATTTTATTTTTAAAACAATAATAAATTTACAGGCGTCCCGCTCTGAGGATATAAAAAAAGGTCACGTTAGGCATACAGGAAACGTGTAATTATATTTAGTACATTTTGATGTACATTGGCTGTATAGAGCTTTTTGCCATTGTAGTTTGTTGGGTATTAGGAGGATATGGATTAAGTATGCCGTACTGTTAGATAGCAGCTTTTGTGAGTTCCCAGACATTTTGTCTCATTGCCCACTTAGACAAGAAAAAAAAATTGTACGCCCGCCACCACAAAAAATGATTGAACACCTGTGTTTTTGTATTAAGACAAAAAAATCACAAATAAAAAAATGTATATTTAGTAGTTTATAAAATAATTCAGGTTTTCTTTTCATATGTGATGGTACTGGACGCCCCCAACCAAACAATTGCTTCCGAGGTAACTACCGCCCCTCTAGGAATCTTCAGTGCCCGCAAATTTTTTACCGAACCGAAGTACCTAAGTTTTTCAATCTCAGACTAGCCAAAGTCTACGAACCACGTTTATACTGTTTGCTTATTAATTTAGATAAGAGTTATGTAAATAATCGTAGACAGGTGGAAAAACAATGTTTAAGGAAATTCGCAATCACTTAAGTTGTATTATAACCGTTTGAAGTGGAATACAATAAAAGATTATCTTTTCTTCCATTTCACTGTCACTATCGAATGCAAAACAAACAAAACACTCAAAACTCAAGCTCATTTTGTATCTTTATTTCAAACATATGCAAATTACTCTTATTAAAACCGTTACATTTATTAAACTCTACTAATTCGTAAGGCAGATTCCATTGAGAAGAACCTGTAGGTGTTGCTCTTTGTAAATAAAGTTTTGTGCGTATTTATCATTTAGATACAATATTTATTTTAAATGTCATAGATTGAGGCAATCTGAAAGAGATAAACGTGCTACTGCCATATATTTTTGTCATCTCAATACACAGGAGTTGTGTGATTGGTTTCACTATACTTTCAAAACCTCGAAAATGGATTTTAACGAAAATCTTAGATTGCTTTTTGAATAATAAACCGTTGTTCCTTAAATGAATTTGTGACTTTCTGAAGACGACTGTCGTTTTTTGTAAGTTGTTTTAGCAGTTCCACCTCATCCAGGAATATAATATGAGAGCTGAGATTGACAAAGGGACATAAAAAATATAAAATGGAGTGTCTATAATGTGTCGCAACTTTTTAAACAAATATTGAGCTTCGTATACTTACTTGTTCTCAGTAAGGCGCCCACTGTCCGGACAGCACGGCTGGGAATTTTGAGGTGACGAATAGTCTTTACTAGTAGTAGAGCTCATTGTGAAAGAGTTCGTCCAGGGAAGTACTGCCGCCTTACCTTCTGCCTTCAAGCAATAATGTTAGCATTACTGTGTTCCGGTCAACTTATGTCTCAGTGTGTCGGGCGCAGTGGCAGTGCCCCTTAGATCTTTGCGGATTTAAAGCTTTGAGTGGCACTGTTATGGACAGGACAGGCGTGTAGCTTACCATCAGGCGCACGACTAGTTCGTTCCGTCACTTGACATTATATATAAAAAAATGATATTCCTTAATAACGTATCTGCGGTAGACTTAGGGATATCGAGCCGGCAGCCGATAATTCCGGCTCCGGAATTCTTCGGCAGGATTCCGAGCGTTATCCATCCAAAATCTTCTTGGATCTCTTTTTCTTCAGGGAAACTACCATTTTTGTATATACAACTTATAAGACATCAGCTTGCAACGTGACAACAGATCTGAAGAGATGCTAGGCGCGAGCACAATGTCGCGACGTTATGCTTCGGCATAGCATGCCCAACTCGCCATGCCGTCTTTCAAATGGGCGCGAGCCCTAAATCTGTTAATAAAAACAATAGGTACATAGGTGTCAAACTAATTATAAGTACTAAATTTAAGGGTGAATTAACGCATAAACTGATAACCACAAATATACCGACCACCTTTGAACATACCAAGGAAGCAGCGTATGCTAAGCTTCCGAAAACTCGGTTTCATTGGTGATTCAGTGACACGTTCCAAGTACCAGGCAAGCAGATACTCGAACACGTGTTTAGTGACGGTTAACGACCTCACGCTGGCTGTACTGACATGCGGTGACATACTGTGTCGGTTATTGCGATTCCAAACAAGTCCAAAAAAAGAAAAACGCGAATTGATCTGCTTATATACGTTTACATGGCCACAGTGATGGCTGACAGCAGTAAAAGCAACTTGCGATATATTTTTGTCGCGAAGGTTGCGGTGACTAGTTACCAGGACACACCCGGACACTCCATACAACGGTCGAAAATTATCTACTACTTACTATGTACAGCAAGGCGCTATCTGCACACGCGCGAATGTGTGCGTGAAGTGGCAGGGTTTACCTACCCATCACTTGCTCGTACTATTACGTTACGTATACGTAGGCAATATAGCGAAAATTCTGACGCAAATCTGTTATATATAATTATATTATTGAATCCTAATGATTACACGTGGTCATTACGTATTTATGTCGATATAATATTATATTTTTATTAATTCACTAACTAGAATAATATTGAAGATTTGTTTAAAAATTATATTAAAAGCACTTAAAATGTTATATTTTGGACAGGTACCTTTAAATAAGGTAACCAAAGTATTTGAAATTGCGTGTCCAACTTTATCATTACCTAGTTAATAATTAGGTATATTCACCAAAGTATTTGAAATTGCGTGTCCAACGTTATCATTACCTAGTTAATAATTGAAATTGCGTGTCCAACTTTATCATTACCTAGTCAATAATTAGGTATATTCACCAAAGTATTTGAAATTGCGTGTCCAACGTTATCATTACCTAGTTAATAATTGAAATTGCGTGTCCAACTTTATCATGATCTAGTTAATAATTAGGTATATTCACTACGTAATATTTATCGGCAATACAAATTGAAAATTCTAGAATCCTTGTCTAGCTCATAAGTTATGGCGTCTTATTATATTGATATAATAAATCTGTATTATATATTACTCTGCACTAAAGAAAACAATAACTGAATGAGTCTCAGACATTAGTTTTTTTTACTTTGTTTCATCTTTCAAAAAACCCGTTTCGTTCCCGAATTTTTAAATCCCGTTTAGATGATTATAAACAGCCGTACACAGCACAATTCACGACCATTATAAATAGTAACGTAAAATGATGTTATATATTAACGTACAAATTTTGTAATGAATAAATGAAAACTATATTCAAACATCAAAGCCGTCTTAGCGCGAAAACGGCTCAATCGACAGCCTTGTACTCGTTCAGTCAATGTGACCGTCAATGTGCGGTACGTGGTGCGGTATCTAAAGTTAGGGAGGGGCGGAGAGTATCCGTTCTCATTACTTATTTGTTCTCTGACCAGGACACCAGAAGTCACATAGTGTATATCGAGTTCTTAGGTTTTCGCGATTGTTACACATAGGAAATGAAACTATTTTTCCGGATTTAAATCGCGTATATTTGTTTTTTCAAACAAACCGACGTTTTGGGCCCTTTACAGTTACTATATATAGTTATTATAGTGAAAAAATAGGGTGGTTTGCATCAATATTAGACATAACTGGTTGAAGACTGTACCACCTCAGTCAACCGTGACCATGGGACCTGTCAAGGGTTCGAAACGTCGGTTTGTTAAAAAACAAATATACGCGATTTAAATCTGGAAAAATAGTTTCATTTCACATAGTGTAGTCGTGAAATCTTGTATTTGTTTATGATGCCCTATCTTTTGCACAAATTACATGAATACAAAATTACTTTTAGCAAAAATTTCTGCGTTGTACATGCCACGTCTAAACAGATTCACTACCGAGGGGGAGCGAGGAATGTGAGAAATGTGACGACTCTGACAATTCACGCACTCAGCGGTTTAGTGCAATATTGCAACCTATCGCCAGTTAGGATAGAATTCAGATTACCTAGCACTAAAATAAATTTAATTTTGTTAACATATAGATACCATATCTGTTTCTTGAACATTTTTGTAGGCTTTTTTGAACATTCGAAGAGAGTGAGTTTTCTGTACTGTTCTGTACTTACGTGTCAGAATGTTTCAAAAACTTATAAATAGTGTTCATTGCATTTAAAAAAAATATTGTTCTAAATTTGCATATTAAAAGGCGTCGAAAATTTATCTTTCAAGTTACTTCAAGTTGTATTTTCAAACGAACAATGTGCGCGTAATTTGCCGTAAAATTATGAGGGAATTTGCACTGAGTGGTAAAGCTAAAATATTATCTATTTTTGTCACCAGATAACCCTGCAGACTGCCTACACATGCGGATATCAGGTTTATGATACACGTGGTACTGTGATGGAGATGTCGCGCCAAGGGGGAGCGGAGGGGGAGAGTCTGCTGCGGCTGGACCAACGCGCCACCGTCATGCCGCACGGGACACACGCACCAGGTAATTTATCCTCTAACATTTTAAAATACAATAATAAACAAGCTAACAACGCTTAAATTATTATATTTTTGTTTATGTAGTAATACACTTAATTTTGTTTATGTAGCATTAACATTAATTGACCTTATCAAAGTACGTGCATAAGTTCGCAAAAGATGCTGGCTATTACCATAGTGTGCGTTTGTACAGGCCACGCGACCGGCAGCGCACACACATACAAACAGCGCTGCTACGTTTGTGTGGAGTTATCACACTTGTTTCATTAAACTACGCTGTTACGCATAACAATTTCGTATCGCTGTAAATAATCGATGAAGATACGGTGTAAAGAAACTGCGCCTGCGATCGTATAAGACATATACTTTTGGTAGTGTAACTATCATAAAGAATAGTCAATGGTACACCGACTATTAAAGACCCGACTGACCGTATTTAGGTTGGTCGGGTAAAAAATAATAAACACTCGTATTTAATACAGGAATGCTAAAAAAAGTTTGAATATCAATGCTCACATGAACTACTGGCCATACAAACGTTTAAAAACAGGACATTTGGTTTGATAATCTCAGACAGAGTACTAAAAAATCCGACCTCAAAAGACATTCATTCATTTTCTTCAAATTTAAATAGGACCACAAACGAGGTACCCTCTTTCAAACAAAAAAAGAATCATCAAAATCGGTTCATAAAGAGTTATCGTGTAACATACATTGTTATCACATATAAAATAAAATATCGCAATTAAAGAAAATTGGCTTTCGTACTAGGAGCCACAATTATACTATGCAAATACAACTAATTAAGAGTCCATACTACCTCAGTCCGAATTAAAATTTTTTCCCGTAATATGGTTCATTTTGCTTAGATCGAGCGGCGGGGACACTGGTTTTATTTCAGATTTTTACAAACGAAGTTAACGCCGTTTGAAAAATGTATATCGCATAGTGTAAGTGTTCTATTTAGTTCAGGTAATATAATATACGTAAAGTATCTATTAAATACAGCGGTTTTCTTGTAAAAGTTTGAGGTAAGTTTGTGTTTTTTTTTATCGTTAAAATTTGTAGGAATCGTGTTTCCACACCGTATGGTACTCAGTGTACATCCTCAGTTTTAGTATATGTTTTTTTCAAAGTGATTGATTCAACGCTCACTGTTATGCGGAGTCAACCAAAGCTATTTGAGTTAGTATAGACTCTTAAGGAAGTCGATCCCGGATCCTTCCCGAGAAGGCCACCGTGGGGTTTTAGCCGGTAGAAGTCCGGCATAACCTCCCGCTGCCCCCGCGGCGGAGAGGTATCCTCGGAGGATTTCCCCACGCAAAAAAAATAAAAAAATAAAAAAGACTCTTAAGGAAATCGTGTCGGTACGCTCGCGCTGCTGAATACATAGATCAGTGGAATTATTAATTCTTGACACTTGATTGTGTAATGTAATAAAGTTTGCGTATTTAGAAATTTCAGTTTTTTAATAAAATTAATTTATTATTTATTTGTGAAGAAACTATTCGACACAAAGCGTTTAAAAAATAGGTGTCAATAGTAAATTTTACCGGAAACAGAAGCGGAAGCTAAACTCTATAAAGATCTCAACTAAATAGACTAGTGAAATAAACAGGGCTTGTTTTTGCTTTCATAATTGTACTTAAGGCTCAACTCACACTGGCGCAGAGTCGAAGCGTCGCGTCGCGTCCTGTTTTTCAACTACAACGCATGGCGACGCGCGTCGTGCGGACGCCCGCATTAGCGCGCCCGGATTACAGTTCAGAGACTTTTAAACATTCTCGAATGGCGCTCATGCTCGACAGTACACAATGGTTGATATCGATCTTATTATAATTTTATTGCTCTTATATCTGAAGCTGAAGAGAAAGAAACTAAAAGTATATCCGACACTGAAGGGAGAAAAATAAAACGGAAATTTTGGGTTCACGAGTTATGGAGGAAAAGACGTACACTTGGCGAATTCAAAACACTCTGTAGACGATTTAAGCCTAGATTCAAGACATTTTTATGATTATTTTGATATATGGACATTCATATTTTTGGATTAAGTAAATTAATTTTTCGTCTTCATCCATTGTCGCGCACTCGTCTCGTCGCACTTCGGCATTCGGTGCTATGTCTGGTGTGGTCGGCGTCTGACGCGTCACTGCACGCGAGTAACGCACAGCGACGCGCGAAACCGCTCGACAATAACCAAGAGTCGACGCGCGATTCCATATTTGCATAACACAAATTTGTACCTTAATAACAGGAAAATAGAGATGAATATGCTGTAGGCGAAAAACATGACGCGTCGCGACGCTGCGACTCTGCGCCAGTGTGAGTTGAGCCTAACTGCTAAACGCGCGCACCAAAAAAAATCTAAATCTATCGCGAAAATTATAAACTTCAGAAACGGAAATAGCTATATCACATTATTAATACATATAATGTTTTATAGTAATTCAAACCTACAGTCAACGTTGAAAACTCCATAACGTCGACGTTGACCTTCTGACTGAAAACCTCCCAACTAACAATTTGAATGTTGCATAATTGTCAAGTAAACGTTTTACATTTTGTGTTCGGGTGTGTAGAATTAGGCGCCTTGTGAAGGTTTATGAAATGAAATTTGGGCCCAAATTATACGACATTATTGTCACTTAGTAGTTACGTAAAAGTCAGTCAACGACCGTTTTACCGTTTTATATATAATTTAATTAAGTTAAACACTTTTCAAACAGACCCGACTTTTCTGGTTATATTGAGATAGATACGTGACATGCCAGTTGAATTGGCGCATGGCGGTAAGAAATGCCTGAAAACGTTTCACGACGTCTCAACGACAACCTTTTTGATACTTTTCCACAAAAGTTTTGACACATTCAGCAAAATAATTTCCATCATAACAGAAATTTTTGCAATGTAGTTATTTTTTTTAGGAAGAAAATAATATGTGTATGTGTAGTTTAAAATATAGTAAATACATGTCGCATGTAGATAAGAGTTTAAATTAGTTAAATCACACTTCTCTTGGATGCTACATAACTCTTATAAAATATATTTCAACAAGTTTTGCTTTAACAAAAATTTGTTATAATAAAATATGTAAAAATGCGTGGCCGTGGCGACGATTTTAAGGCGACGAATTAAGATACCTTTAGGCTCAAATTCTATTGCGGCGGAACGGAATGGAAGCGCATGCTCGAGAATGGTCAAAAATTTTGGTTCGTATATAGTTTGTACGTTACACAATTGACCATAAAGTTCATTATACTATGTACAATATCGTTACAAAAATTCTCTTTCATTCTGTTCCGCCACAATATAAATTGAGTCTTACCTAGACATTGCTACTATTGCTACTTACTGTGCCATGAATGTCACGAAAATGGTTTTTGTTTTTTGTTATATCATTTTAAAGCTTACAATAAATAGTACAAAACAAGCATAATAAACCTATAACGATTTCCCGCACACTGTGCGATATTTTTTTTATTTTTTTTTTTACACACTCAACATAGCCCCGCACTAGGGAAACCCTGTGTCGCGGGTGCCATGGACACACACATAGACAACCACAGATTACACCCAAACTCACGAGAGAAATAAATGTAGGTCATACAAATATTTCTCTCGGCCCGGGAATCGAACCTGGGACCTCTGCGTGGCAGTCCGGCATGGTAACCGTTCGGCCACGGAGGTAGTTTTTAATCGAGAAATATAAATAGTTTTTGTTTCACTATAGTTTTTCAACGTTGAAGAAATCAAGACAAACGAGGCTGAAAATAAAATGTCAAAATGTAAGTCGTGTTACATTCAAAAACAAATATTTGCAATGCCTGTTCACTGAATTGAACTGTATTTCAAAAAATTCACATCTGTTTTTTCTCCAACTTCTTTCAAAGTTTTATGATTGGAACTTATAACGTATATTTAGATTGATGTAAATTATCAATTGGTCGCGACAAAAAAATTGGCGAGTCCAGAATGAGTATTGTCCTTTAATTTTCACAACGGATGGTATTGGCACGTATTGGTTTCCACGTAGAAATAGTTTTATAGGCTACTACAGAACGCGTCCAACTATTTTTATTACTTTTTTTGTTGTCATACTTCTTTATTGAAGTAAGATAGTTACAGAAATTTATCAATATCGTTTAACTTACATACTAAATCAATGTTAAAACACTTTATCTGGCTAGCCAATGGTATTTTGTTTGACCTACCTGCCTCTTAAGTGTCGTGGATCGAATCTTGGCTTGCACCTGAGTTTTTCGGAATTTATGTGCTAAATTTTAATTTTAAATTTACATTCTGCTTTTCGGTGAAGAAAAACATCGCGAGGACACATGAGGAGCACACATCTGCAATGAAATTTAATGATGTCTCTGAAATTCCCAAACCACATTCGGACCCGCGTGGGAACTACAGCCAGAGGAGGTCTGTTCCCAGTAGGGGAGCTACATATAGGGTTATTTTTAAAATGCTAATAACCTGATTGGACTATTACCAATATCATAAATAAATAAATATTACACAACAGCACATACGTTGCTCTAATTCCAAACCAAGTAGCTAAAGCTCTTGTATTATGGAAATTGGAAACAACGACGATACCACAAACACCCAGACAATATAGAAAAGTTACTTTTCTACACTGACCCGGCCGAGGATCGATCCCGGGACCTCTGAGATGGCGACATGAAAACCGGTGTGCAAGGCTTTCGACCACGGAGGCCGTCAAATGAACAACAACTTTTGTTCCATGACTTTTAATAATTATTTTCGACTTTATTTTTATATTAAAATAAAAATATTTCAATAGACTACTCTAAACGCTGATAGCTCTGTTAGAAAAAAAGGAAGCGCCAGCGTAATTAATATCACTTTGAAAGTTCAAACTACTTTACTACCAAATGCAGATCTAAGAAGTGTTAGATAGTACAATGATGGTGAATTTATTATGTTTTATAAAAAGTAATGGAACAAAACTTGTTGTTTATAATGTTAAGAATA